GATGGGGGGGACATTGTATGGCAGACGTCTCATATACAGAAAAATCACCCCCCGGAATCAGGATACCCCAGGGGGGGGCTTTTACTTCTGCCCCTGTGCCTGGCCATAGAGGAGCGGCGACGGTCGGAGAGGTCAGCGCTGTGATGTGGTCGCGTTGTGAGGTCGTCATGAAGATGAATGAAAGCTGAACTCCGGGCAGAGAGCTCTGCCGCCATCTTTGTATGCACAGACAAAACTCTGATGGGTTTGTAGTTTTCGATGGCGTGTGCGGGTGAGGGAATGTAGAGAGCGTGAACCTACCCAGCTGGGACACGCTCAATAAACACCGGACAGAGGGTCTAATTCTTCCATCACAAAGCTAACACGCCAGACTGGGAGACCTTTCTTATAGATATATTATTACAGGAAATGGTCATATACAGTAACTCCCCCTCGTCCTGACCTGCCCCCCCCCCTCTGCAGGCTATACCTTGTAGTAGTGATGGATGTATGGCATGTATGATGGAAGAGTATGGCATGTATGATGGAAGAGTATGGCGTGTATGATGATAGAGTATGGTATGTATGATGGTAGAGTATGGCGTGTATGATGGAAGAGTATGGCGTGTATGATGGGAGAGTATGGCGTGTATGATGGGAGAGTATGGCGTGTATGATGGGAGAGTATGGCGTGTATGATGGGAGAGTATGGCGTGTATGATGGGAGAGTATGGCGTGTATGATGGGAGAGTATGGCGTGTATGATGGGAGAGTATGGCGTGTATGATGGGAGAGTATGGCGTGTATGATGGGAGAGTATGGCGTGTATGATGGGAGAGTATGGCGTGTATGATGGGAGAGTATGGCGTGTATGATGGGAGAGTATGGCGTGTATGATGGGAGAGTATGGCGTGTATGATGGGAGAGTATGGCGTGTATGATGGGAGAGTATGGCGTGTATGATGGGAGAGTATGGCGTGTATGATGGGAGAGTATGGCGTGTATGATGGGAGAGTATGGCGTGTATGATGGGAGAGTATGGCGTGTATGATGGGAGAGTATGGCGTGTATGATGGGAGAGTATGGCGTGTATGATGGGAGAGTATGGCGTGTATGATGGGAGAGTATGGCGTGTATGATGGGAGAGTATGGCGTGTATGATGGGAGAGTATGGCGTGTATGATGGGAGAGTATGGCGTGTATGATGGGAGAGTATGGCGTGTATGATGGGAGAGTATGGCGTGTATGATGGGAGAGTATGGCGTGTATGATGGGAGAGTATGGCGTGTATGATGGGAGAGTATGGCGTGTATGATGGGAGAGTATGGCGTGTATGATGGGAGAGTATGGCGTGTATGATGGGAGAGTATGGCGTGTATGATGGGAGAGTATGGCGTGTATGATGGGAGAGTATGGCGTGTATGATGGGAGAGTATGGCGTGTATGATGGGAGAGTATGGCGTGTATGATGGGAGAGTATGGCGTGTATGATGGGAGAGTATGGCGTGTATGATGGGAGAGTATGGCGTGTATGATGGGAGAGTATGGCGTGTATGATGGGAGAGTATGGCGTGTATGATGGGAGAGTATGGCGTGTATGATGGGAGAGTATGGCGTGTATGATGGGAGAGTATGGCGTGTATGATGGGAGAGTATGGCGTGTATGATGGGAGAGTATGGCGTGTATGATGGGAGAGTATGGCGTGTATGATGGGAGAGTATGGCGTGTATGATGGGAGAGTATGGCGTGTATGATGGGAGAGTATGGCGTGTATGATGGGAGAGTATGGCGTGTATGATGGGAGAGTATGGCGTGTATGATGGGAGAGTATGGCGTGTATGATGGGAGAGTATGGCGTGTATGATGGGAGAGTATGGCGTGTATGATGGGAGAGTATGGCGTGTATGATGGGAGAGTATGGCGTGTATGATGGGAGAGTATGGCGTGTATGATGGGAGAGTATGGCGTGTATGATGGGAGAGTATGGCGTGTATGATGGGAGAGTATGGCGTGTATGATGGGAGAGTATGGCGTGTATGATGGGAGAGTATGGCGTGTATGATGGGAGAGTATGGCGTGTATGATGGGAGAGTATGGCGTGTATGATGGGAGAGTATGGCGTGTATGATGGGAGAGTATGGCGTGTATGATGGGAGAGTATGGCGTGTATGATGGGAGAGTATGGCGTGTATGATGGGAGAGTATGGCGTGTATGATGGGAGAGTATGGCGTGTATGATGGGAGAGTATGGCGTGTATGATGGGAGAGTATGGCGTGTATGATGGGAGAGTATGGCGTGTATGATGGGAGAGTATGGCGTGTATGATGGGAGAGTATGGCGTGTATGATGGGAGAGTATGGCGTGTATGATGGGAGAGTATGGCGTGTATGATGGGAGAGTATGGCGTGTATGATGGGAGAGTATGGCGTGTATGATGGGAGAGTATGGCGTGTATGATGGGAGAGTATGGCGTGTATGATGGGAGAGTATGGCGTGTATGATGGGAGAGTATGGCGTGTATGATGGGAGAGTATGGCGTGTATGATGGGAGAGTATGGCGTGTATGATGGGAGAGTATGGCGTGTATGATGGGAGAGTATGGCGTGTATGATGGGAGAGTATGGCGTGTATGATGGGAGAGTATGGCGTGTATGATGGGAGAGTATGGCGTGTATGATGGGAGAGTATGGCGTGTATGATGGGAGAGTATGGCGTGTATGATGGGAGAGTATGGCGTGTATGATGGGAGAGTATGGCGTGTATGATGGGAGAGTATGGCGTGTATGATGGGAGAGTATGGCGTGTATGATGGGAGAGTATGGCGTGTATGATGGGAGAGTATGGCGTGTATGATGGGAGAGTATGGCGTGTATGATGGGAGAGTATGGCGTGTATGATGGGAGAGTATGGCGTGTATGATGGGAGAGTATGGCGTGTATGATGGGAGAGTATGGCGTGTATGATGGGAGAGTATGGCGTGTATGATGGGAGAGTATGGCGTGTATGATGGGAGAGTATGGCGTGTATGATGGGAGAGTATGGCGTGTATGATGGGAGAGTATGGCGTGTATGATGGGAGAGTATGGCGTGTATGATGGGAGAGTATGGCGTGTATGATGGGAGAGTATGGCGTGTATGATGGGAGAGTATGGCGTGTATGATGGGAGAGTATGGCGTGTATGATGGGAGAGTATGGCGTGTATGATGGGAGAGTATGGCGTGTATGATGGGAGAGTATGGCGTGTATGATGGGAGAGTATGGCGTGTATGATGGGAGAGTATGGCGTGTATGATGGGAGAGTATGGCGTGTATGATGGGAGAGTATGGCGTGTATGATGGGAGAGTATGGCGTGTATGATGGGAGAGTATGGCGTGTATGATGGGAGAGTATGGCGTGTATGATGGGAGAGTATGGCGTGTATGATGGGAGAGTATGGCGTGTATGATGGGAGAGTATGGCGTGTATGATGGGAGAGTATGGCGTGTATGATGGGAGAGTATGGCGTGTATGATGGGAGAGTATGGCGTGTATGATGGGAGAGTATGGCGTGTATGATGGGAGAGTATGGCGTGTATGATGGGAGAGTATGGCGTGTATGATGGGAGAGTATGGCGTGTATGATGGGAGAGTATGGCGTGTATGATGGGAGAGTATGGCGTGTATGATGGGAGAGTATGGCGTGTATGATGGGAGAGTATGGCGTGTATGATGGGAGAGTATGGCGTGTATGATGGGAGAGTATGGCGTGTATGATGGGAGAGTATGGCGTGTATGATGGGAGAGTATGGCGTGTATGATGGGAGAGTATGGCGTGTATGATGGGAGAGTATGGCGTGTATGATGGGAGAGTATGGCGTGTATGATGGGAGAGTATGGCGTGTATGATGGGAGAGTATGGCGTGTATGATGGGAGAGTATGGCGTGTATGATGGGAGAGTATGGCGTGTATGATGGGAGAGTATGGCGTGTATGATGGGAGAGTATGGCGTGTATGATGGGAGAGTATGGCGTGTATGATGGGAGAGTATGGCGTGTATGATGGGAGAGTATGGCGTGTATGATGGGAGAGTATGGCGTGTATGATGGGAGAGTATGGCGTGTATGATGGGAGAGTATGGCGTGTATGATGGGAGAGTATGGCGTGTATGATGGGAGAGTATGGCGTGTATGATGGGAGAGTATGGCGTGTATGATGGGAGAGTATGGCGTGTATGATGGGAGAGTATGGCGTGTATGATGGGAGAGTATGGCGTGTATGATGGGAGAGTATGGCGTGTATGATGGGAGAGTATGGCGTGTATGATGGGAGAGTATGGCGTGTATGATGGGAGAGTATGGCGTGTATGATGGGAGAGTATGGCGTGTATGATGGGAGAGTATGGCGTGTATGATGGGAGAGTATGGCGTGTATGATGGGAGAGTATGGCGTGTATGATGGGAGAGTATGGCGTGTATGATGGGAGAGTATGGCGTGTATGATGGGAGAGTATGGCGTGTATGATGGAAGAGTATGGTATGTATATTGTCGTGTGGAGTAATAACATGCCTATTTGGAATGCCTGGCAGTCTGGTGTTCTAGCTTTGTGTTGTATGTTGTTGGGGAGATGCGCTCTCGGTACATAACACCCATGTTCTGCTTTTGGTAGATCATTGTCAGCGTGTCACGTCGGGTGTGCAGACATTTTCTCTTTAAATTGTTGAGTTAGCAGAGGTATGACCTCATTAGTCTTCCGCTGCTCCTTCGCCAGATGGATGGAGAGACATAGCGATCCTTTGGCAGGTATCACGGATTGTCCGCGGGTTGGGCTGTTATTATGTTGTCTTTCCTCTTGAATTGCAGTCTGTTTTGGACTCTTCCACCAGCAGAATCCTGTCTCGGGGGAAGAACCATCGGGGGGGGGAACGGGGATTATGTGTATTTGGTTTGGGGTCAGCGGGTGGAATATGTCAAGTCTGTTCACGTGGGCGGAGCAAACACACGTCTCCTAATTCTTCTTCCCGCACTGTGTCTCTGTAGGGCGGCCGCTGACGATCTTCAACACCCAAGCGCAGATAGCCATTGGAGGGAAGGACCGGGGAAGGCCGTTCCAGGGGCAGCTTTCGGGCATCTATTACAACGGCCTCAAGGTTCTGAACATGGCTGCCGAGCACAACCCCCACATCAACATCAGCGGCAGCGTGAGGCTGGTGGGGGAGGTTCCATCTATGGGGACGACGCCAACCACTTCTATGCCTCCGGAGATGTCCACCACCATAATGGAAACCACAACCACGTTGGCAACTACCACGACAAGAAGGAACCGGTCGTCTCCAGGATCCATGGTAAGTGCCGGATCCGCCTCCCTGTGAGCGGCTGCCAAATGACCAGTGAAAGGTCGGCAGCCATTACAGCACGGGTCACGTGGCTATTCTCTATACAGGGCGGCCATCTTGTCTTCCACTAGTCTTGTAGGGAATCATTTACCTGGTAATTAGTCCCTTTGAATATTTTGGCCTCATTGTGTTGTCTAGCGTTCCACACAATCCCTTCCGGCTCCAGTCTCAGGTACAAGTCTCAGTCTCATGTACAACATGTGTGGTTGGCAGGGATTCTTCATGTGATGAAATGTGGGGCTGGATTATGTAGTGGCCACGGGATGCCGATTTCCCATGCGTTCTCCTCGTGTCACATCGCTTCCACAACTGAGAAATGATGGGATTGTAGTCACATAGGAACCAATCTCCTCCGGCGTGAAAATGATGGACACGGAAGAGTTGGGCGGCCCGCTGTTGCAGCATGTACAACTCCACCGTTCAATCCGCGCTTCCTCCACCCGTGTCCCCCGTCTGACACATTTGGCACCCCTAGTACCCAATAATTAGGCCCCAGTAGGGGTGACGTGGGCTCTGTCGCTGGTTGTACAGTTTTCTGCCTGCATGGGAAGTGTTGTGCGGATCCGTGCTTTGTATGTGTGCCACACGTCTGGGACGAGGACCAGAACCAGGACCTGGGAGTGGTGGTGGGAACATGTGAGCGAGCCTCGCATATGAAAGTGTCTGAAATAAGTCATCTGTGTCGCCGTCATCGACCAATCAGATTCTTGCGTTCCTTTTTTTATCCCGGCCTGTGCTGTAAACATGAAAGAGAACTAATGAGGCTGCCGTGTGTAAGACGTTCTATTCTCCGGGGATTTGTCATTTCTGAAATTAAATGTAAATTAATCAGAGCGCCAGATGTGCGCGGCCTGGCAGGCTCCGTGGGACGCTCCA